TCAAAATATCCCTCACACAAAACCATTCATGAGTCGTATAAGACAAAAGAAAGTACGTTCCCCGTAAAAATAAATAATGTCATCCAGGCGAATTTCATTAAGGGCTGCCTCCAACCCTAATTGCGAAAAGGTCAAAAAGAGCATACATTTCAACTCCGACTTAATAAATCCTTTGTCGTTTTCATTTCATAATCCATTTCTCATGACCTTGACAAAATACCTTTATTTGCATATTTTTATCACTCTTTTGCCCTAACCGCTTTTATTTCGTACCGTGTAAGGATAAGTCAATTACTTTTATCATTTTCATCCTTTACACTTTCTGTGGGTGTCGTAACTTCGTAAGACCTACACATTTAACAGAGACCTTTAAACTGTGATCTCTGATCCGTCTGCCAAGCGCGTTTAAGCGAGATTATAGCAAATTATTTTTCTATAGCGGAGACCCATAGCAGCGGCATAACTACACCCCTCGAGGCAAAATCATCGGATGGGTCTCCGTTCCCAATAAAAAAACAGAGAAATTCATATGAAAATCTCTGAACGTGGACCCCTTCCACCTACTTCCGCCGACTTGCCGCTCTGTTTGCCACTGGCCCATAGTCCAGCAATCGACTCTACTGGCTATTGATGTGTGTTTATTTCATGGTTGCTATAGAAACCGGTGTTTTACTCGAGATAAGAACAGTATTTGATAAAATTAGAGGCTGCTCACGTCCAGAGATAGTAATTTAAATAATAGATAACATTATCAGCGAGGTTCTAAAAACAATCAAGGTTATTGACTTTTGTTGTTTGCTTTCGTCGCCATATTTATTTAGGGCATAGTTCTATATTTTACAAGTAACCTTCTTCGGTTCCATAATTGTGTTTTGTTTCATCTGACAGAATTTTAATTCAATGTGAAACGATAGAAAGGTCGAAAACGGTATGGTAGAAAGAAAATTTGCATAGATCTCATGAAGACTGAAGAATAATATTAAAGAGGAAAGACTTGTGTTGTGTGTGACTCCTTTGCTATTTTGGGATGTCCATGGGTGGCGTTGTCCCCCCAGATTTTTTGCCCATATACATCTGTACTATAACAAAATATTGTGTTATGAATACCGCAATAATATCACAAATACCAATAACAAAAAAGATCCTAAACTTGGATAAATTACCAACAAAATTTGTAAGCTTTGAAAAAACAAATCTGGTTGTTTAATGTCCTACAAATTGAGATAAATGGAGAAGAATCTCTTTCATGTTTGTGATCGTGACCTCAATTTGAAGGTCGATCAGAATACAGGGATTTAAGGAAAACGTGTGGAAGTTTTCAAGCATAGATTAGCACCATGTGTAGCATGTATGTATGATGTACATATGTGGGTTGTAAGACTACGCTTTAGACAAAGACTGGGCAACAACCTTCTTTGATGAACTTCAACCTTGTAAAAAACAATTTCTAACTCGCCTGGCAAGTGAGGTATATGATAAACCTTCTTTTGTAGAGGAGACTAATAGTTCAACAAGAGACTAACACGGTGCTGTTGATATAACGAGCTTAACACACATTAGCTTATAACAGGAATCATCTAAAAGTAATAGTAGATATCTATCTAACGTAAATCTAGGTTTCTGTAGGTAGGAAATGTATCTTCCTAAATTTTAGAAGGTATCTCTTCAGATGAAAGACTCTAACGTCATGAACGGAATTTAAATCATAAGATTACCATTTTATTGTTCCACGCTCCGGAGCTTAGGGACCTGCAACCTTTTTCATGATAAATAAGAAGCAATTGTCTGTGGCATTCGATAGACGCCATATTGATTACTTTGAGCTCACTTGTTCGAAATTTGAAAAGAAAACCGTACGTCAAGGACGTTGAAAAAAGACCGACGAAATGTCACTTAGAAATGATTGAAGCACCAAAATGTCAGTGGTGTATTTATGTGTGCGTGAACTTGCAACACCGTAATGTATGAAGTGCAATGACGGGTCATGTGATGCGACAGATGTCCTTCATGTCAATGTGTGTGTATGCTGCGTGTAAGTCTATAGTAGCTAGGTGCACAGTCGTTGTTTTACGAGTCTATGTCCGTATTTTTTAACGTCCATGCAGTAGGCATTATTTTTAACAATACGTGTCGGGGTTCGGGGTTGTTTAGCTCCTACCCTTAATAAGTTAGTTGACATTTTAACAGTCACTATTAAAAAGATCCCTAAATGTTGATTACAAATCATTTAACGATTGAAATTGGAATTTTTAAATCTCGACACAGAAACAAAAGTATAATTTGTTACTGGCTGACCACGTTGCGTTTTTGACTTGGGGAGAAAAAAAAGTAAACATTTATTATGTTCTTGCAGTCTTAAGGGTTGCCATAATTATTAGCCTTAAGAAACCTCAGATTTAAAACGACATGTCCGGCCTTGTTACGTACGCGTAGGTAATTACATCTTCCCCAGATTAAATGTCTTCAAATTAGATGGTCCAGCCAGTTGCGCCTTTGACTCAATTAAATATCAAAAAGGTAAAAAAGGACTACACAATCTGTGCTGAAATAAAAAAGGATTGAAGTATGACAATATTGTAATAGTTACGTACTTTATTAATATCAAGATTAGGTACGTAATGGTAATGATAGGCAGTTGAATCGTGATGATAGCTGTCTTCATTTCTAGACAAAATAGAAGGAAATCCTGGCTAGATTACACTTCTGTTTTTATTTTGATTCAGCTGATAATCAAGGCAGGATTTCCGTCTGTCTGCGAATCTGTGACCTTTCCTAACTTCTTAACTAAAAAAAATTTTTTTGAGTTTTTTTTTACGGGGTGAAAATCATCTAATGACTGCACCCGCCTGGGTGAGGCGGGAGGGAGTGTCAGACTCTTACTGACTAAAAACCACCCCGTTCCTTCTCCTGCACGTCGAGCCGGAGCCCCGGTTACCCGTTAGGTTCTCCGCGACTTTTTGATGCCTTAAGATCATTTTTATTATAATTTGGTTTTTTTAAGGTGTTTAGTTATTTACATTTTAAGTTGTATATACGTATATTTATTTAATTTAAATTCTTTTCAATAAATTTAATTTCTACATACACTTTTGTCTCGTTTGTGTTCAGTTATCAGAAACGGCTTCGAGCTGGTGAGAAAAATTTGACAAAGGCTCTTGTTTTCTTAAATTAAATTTTTGAGTGATGTGGTCTCAAAGAGAACCAACCTTTTATAAATAAATTACAAAAAGACTGTAGGTAGCATACCTATGCACTTGAGTACCAGTCTTAGCAAGTTGTAGAGGACTGACCTCATGTCAGTTGCTTTGTGTAAATTCACTGATATACATTAAATTTTAACTGTGTAAAGCCAGACCCTATCGTAATATAAATCCTAGCAACTATCACTAGACATGGGCGATTTTTCGTATACCTAAATATTCAAAATGTATAAATATTCAGTCTATGTCCGTTTTCGCTCGAGTACCAACTTATCCAAAAAAGAGGATAAACACCCAGTATTTATCAATTTTAAATAATTATTTATCTGAAAAATCGCGTAAATACCTATCACTTCTTGTTTGCAAAATAGGTACCATCATGTACGTGTAGAGGTATATTTTCTACAACGCCTGTTGCCCTAGCTAGTAGGACCTTGTTGTGTGTTTTAATCAAAATATTGCTAAGTAGTTACTTACGCATTTGAAAATCGCATTTACTATGAATTTCTAATAATTGAAAACAGTTAGAATTTTTTATTTTGATTAAATTCGGTGTTATAATAAAGTGAAACTGTCGTCACCTGTTGTTATCAAGTATGAATTTTTAAAATAAAATGTTCTTAAATAAGAATAATGGCGAAAATTAATGTAACACATAAAATACCTAAAAAAATAAGGGATTTAATCGAATATCAAGGACAATTTGATATTAGGGTTTGTAAAATCTCTTTATCGAAGATAATATTCAATAATAAATCAAATTCTTTGATTTTATCTTCGCACCAATCGAATTTAAATTAGTGTAGCCACGATTTGCGTTACTTGGCGTAATAAACAACAATGTAGATCGGTATCTAAGAACGTACGTAAGTAGCAATAATTTAAAAAGTTGCATTATTTCAAAGAAAAAAACGTTTCTAGTTAATTAAAAAAATATTGTTACTATGCGAGTCCCATTTATTAGTAGGTTTTGGTAACGCTCTCTTGTCAAACGCCGGAGTGGGAGAAAAGTAAAAAATATGTTACTCGTAACTAAAATATTAATGTTGTCTTAAATCTGTGGCAGGGCAATGGGCTATGAATGTCACAATGACTCCTCACGCCGTATATTTTTAACTAAACTCCCAATTCCACGCTTACGCATAAAGCTCAAAAATATAACGTATTTTTCGGGAGCATAAAGTAAAAATATTTACCGTGATTCCAGGTTTCAGGTGTAACGAGGGCATGGGTCCAAATAATACCACTTATAAAATCACTTCACTCCACATTTAATGTTTATTTTAATTATTTGTTTTTTTACAAACCGCGAATAATTCGGGCGCGAAATATTACTGGCGCCCGACTCATAGTTCGATTGAATGTTTTGGTTGTGCGACGGGTACAGTGGTACACTCAATGTAATGATCGGGGTTGTACTTTTGATATCAGCGCCATCTAGTTTAGGATTCAGATGTTCATTCCAAAATTTTGACAGCACTATGTATACCATTAACATCCTATTAAAACGTTTTCTCGAAATTGAAATCATAAATTTTAGTTTATTTACTAAATAAGCTGATTATATAAAGCCTTTGATTAATCAATATTGTTTTCGAAGTATTATTTTTGTTTTCAACGACAAATGATTTTATTGTTGCGATATCTTAACGCCATCTGTGTGTTTGACAGTAAACTACGACGAGCCTCAGTGAATGGCTTCTCTAAATTCGTGTCAACCAACCAAAACGAAGGGCGAATTTTACGCGTGCGCAATGGAGGGGAGCATAGTAAACTCAACTCAATGAAAATAATCAGTAGGCATTTGTCGATAGTGTAAATCCGTTGCGCCGGGTGGTACGTGTTAGATTTGCGAAATTTTATAATCGCGGTACCGCCTACACCCGTTTTATTAATAAACTTTGTGCTAGTGCAGTGACTGGATTTTGTGAAAATGTCCAACGCACCAGTGAAAAAAGTCCCGATACATCTGCAGGTAAGTTTGATTCGCAATTTCGCACCTGTTGTTTGCAAAATTAAATTAAATTTAAAGTAAGTAGTTTAATACGAAATAATATTTACCAAACGTGTTCTTGGTACTTGGGAAATGCTAACGAATTGGCCCGATGAAAATTCTTTTGCCAAAATCTATGTTTGAGAATAGTCTGACCTAATTTGCACTCAGAATTAGGTTGCCGGTTAATTACGAAAACGTCGCGTAAAACAAAGCACCAACATCCGAAAATAATATAATTTCTAATGATTATAAAAGTGTTTTTAAGTTTTAATTACACATTTTAGATAATCTCGATATTGGTTTGGAGTTTTGGAGGTAGAAGTAAAATAATTTTGACACTTTCTGTTTTAAAAACGAAATAGTTATCGGGTATTCGTAGCGATAACGAAACCGAATGTTAAACTATTTTTATCGCTTCTGTAGTTTATAGGCACAAACGTTCGCATACCTACCATAATTAACAATTTAAATCTCGATTGTTTTCTAATGTTCATTTGCTCTATTCATAATAATAATATGGACGTAAGAACTTACCTACATACCTACTGCAAAATCATAATACCTAATATGTACTTCGCGATGAAAATTAGGTAGGTAGCTAACCTACCCTGCTCGGTTTTTATTGTTTTTATTTTATTTACTTATGTGTTACTAATTACCTACACTGGATTATTAACCTAGGTAATTATGAATCTTACATACTAAAAAGAGCAAACTACAATTAATACAAAGTAAATAAACCAAAGACTAAGATCGATACATTTACAAATTATCGTTGCGGCGTATCGTAATTTAAAAAAAAATGGCAATAAATATTGTAATGTTTGTAGCCTTGGTCACGGTGAATGACCCCATTACTGGGTCCCTTCGCGTTTCTAGGGACCTTGCCGTTCGGTTGGCAAGACCAACGTGACATGCGCAATGGCTCCGGGATTTGAGATAAAAGGGTGTAGGTACCTAACAAGAAAGAAATGAAATTAATATTTTTCGTTATTCAATGGCTTTAAATTATTCTATTGTGTCGTTGTGTGTTGTTAATGAGAATAAAATAATAATAGGAATGCGATGTTTCGCAATTTGAACTATCTATTTGGAGTTTATTTTGTTGCTATGCACAATTATTTTGTCTCTTTCTTTTTCTCTTTTTTAAAAACGTTGTCTTGTCTCTCTCTTGTCTTGAAGAGCAGATATCGTTAGATGGATAGCATTAAATTACAATGACATCACAATTACTTATCTACCTAAGATTCTTAAGATATAATATGTTATATTTTGGAAAAATAGCTCAAGTACTTAGAGAAACAAGCTGCACATCTTACAATAACTGCCTTACCTTTTAATTCTTAAGTAACGTTAGTAGATAAGTTCGAAAATAATAATTGAGGGCAAACGTCGGCCCATCAAATATAAAAAAAAAAACAAATAATATTCGTTGTTAACTTGTAGTATGTGTAGACTGCCTCGTTGGCCGAGTGGTCGTAAGTGCGACTGCCAGGCAAGGGGTCTCGGGTTCTATTTCCTGGTCGGGCAAAGTATTACATTAAAAAAAATCTCAGTAGTAGCACGGAGTCTAGAATTGTCCCCGGTAAATGGCACTAGACTCACCCCTTATTACATGGGACTAATAAGATAAATAGTTCAAAGTGGATGTTTAATTGTACAGTGGCATAATGTGCACCTCTGCCTATCCCTTTGGGGATAAAAGGCGTGATGTTATGTTATGTATGTGTAGTGTAGGTATGAACCCACAAGTTGAACAACAGGATGCCACTCGTCTTTTTCAATCAAAACGAATACTAGGACTCCGGGAAACTGGATAGGAAGGAGAAGTTTATCAGTGTCATGGATGTTGGCAACGGATTAACTAGATTGCTCTATTATCTATGTCTGGAGGCTGGAACCTTATGTAAGTTGAGAACAGTTAAATAGTTATTCGGAAAATGGAAACATCGTTACTGTAGGTACTGTACCTACTGTAACGATAACATTTTCTTTATCGATTCCCGTCCCGTACGTAGGATCTTTGTGTGATCCACAAATTGTTGTTTCGGGTCTGGGTGTCATGTGTATGTGAACTTGTATGTTTGTAAACGCACTCACGACACAGAACAAAATCCTTGTGAGGGAGGCAATAATTTCTTTAAAAAAAGTACCTAGGTACATAACTACCTAATTCACGCTTTCCTGTTATAGTTAGTAGGAATTATATAGACAAAAGATACATATTATTATCATCTGTTAAAGGTTATTCATTGTAAACTTCTTCAGTTTTCATCACAATCATGCATCTGGCTATTTGATTCTGATGCCAGGCGACCTGTCTACTTCTTTTACGGTTCGGTGCCTTCGAGTTTTAAAAACTTAGATTAGGTAAAGTTAACCAGATACCCAATTATCCTGAATCTTCCAAATCAAATATTAAATTCAATGCTCAATGAAACCAGTACATCACCCATGCCTCCTCGCGTTGTAACACGACAAAAAATTAAAAATACTATGGTCAGCCTTCTTCAACTGTTTATTAACTGTTACTATCCTGAAAATCAATCTTATACTATTATATAAAGCGAAAGAATTTGTTTTTTTGTTTGTTTGTTTGAACGCGCTAATCTCCGTAACTACAAGTCTGGTTTGAATAATTCTTTTTGTGTTGGATAGCGCATTTATCGAGGATGGCTATTGACTATAAAATATCACGCTACGACCAATAGGAGCTGAGCAGAGCGTGTGAAACCGCACGGAAGTAGCTAGTTTAAATATAAATGTAGTAGATAATTTCATCAAAAACAGAATCCCGGTGATCGAATATCTAAGATCGGAACTAACTATGATTCCATCATTCAATCTCAACTCGACTCCATCAATGAGGTAATTCTATAAAACACACACATAACATAACATCATGCCTTTTATCCCCGAAGGTGCAGGCAGCGGTGCACATTACGGCACTTAATGCCACTGTACAATGTAATAATTTTTATCTTATGAGTCCCATGTAATAGGGAGTGAGCCTATTGCCATATACCGCTCACAAAACCAGACTCCGTGCTTAGTAGCACGGAGACTGGTTTTGTGCGCGGTGTGTAACTACTTAGAATTATTTTAAAACTCGGTAGTACTTTGCTCGACCCGGGAATCGAACATTCTGTAGCACCTACATGCAAAATAAGTAAAATTACCTAATTCAAACACTACCTAGTTACTTTAAATTGTAGAAACTCACGAAATTACGTTAGGTAACATTACAACGCTAGTATTTTAATTTTCAAGGCCAATTTCGTTAACGAATGAATGCCTATTCCCAAGCACCTCTTCGCTCAAGTGACCAGTATAAAAAGTAGTGTGTTAAACTTATATCTACTAATAAATTAATTAACAAGTCATTATGTTTGTGTACGATTGGTTATAATGATGTTATGGTGGTCTCTAATTATTTAATTTATGGGGTTTTCTCACTTTTTTTTCGTAGTTAATTGAAACAAGGTTGTTATACAATTTGACTGGCTTTTGGTCGAGCGGTTTCTGTTTTTTTTTGTTGTATTAATTAATAAGAACTCATGCTTCGGCACGAATGGGCCGGCTCGACCGGAGTGATACACCGGCCTCACAGAAAACCGACGTGAAAAACGCTTGCGTTGTGTTTCGTTGTGTGAGTGAGGTTACCGAAGGCCTAATTACACTCCCCAATCCTTGAATCCCCAACAATCCACAAATTCCTAATCCCGAAAAGGCTGGTAACGCACTTGTAACGCCTTTGGTGTTCCGGTTATCCATGGGCGACGCCGATTGCTAACCATCAGGTGATTCGGTTGCCGGCTTTACCGGCTTATCCCATAAAAAACTCAGAATCAGTAGTAATCATTAACAAGTCCTGACTCCTCTACATACGAGAATTTGCTATGGTTAATTAGTTGACTAGTCACCACGTACGGCATAATTATGGGTTGAAGACGTCACGACGATACGAAGACACAACTGGTGAAAGACGATGTAAAACGAAGTTTTGCTCAAATTCCGAGAAATAACAGTGTTATAATACTATTTAACTTGTTATTATAATTATAGAAACACGTCACGGAACTGTAACAAAACAATTATAGAACAATGAAACAAACCAACTTGACTAATTAAACTGTCAAACACCAAGCGGTCACCGGTGACCGCAACCTATTGTTCTATAATTGTGTCTATAATGACGGTACTCGACGAGTTAAACCTCAAAAAAAACATTATCAGTTAAAAAAACAACTGAAGTGCGTACACACTAGTAAATCGTAACTGTATTAACAATTTAGCACATTGCACTGGATGCTACTGAGATATATTACGCCTACAGCATATATCAAGTACTTACATTTTATTCTAACTCTGCTCGCGACTTCACCCTGTTGAAATTGATATTATTCTTACAATGAGGTGGTGACCATTTCTATAGTAACTATTTCCTCATGAACTTCCCAATTCGGCGTCGTGGGGACGACGGGAGGGGGTGCCGGACTCTAACTGGCTATAACCACCGCGGTGTTTCTCCTTTGCCTATGGCCGTAGCCCGGGACGCCGTTGCGTATTCACCGCACCAGACAGGCCTCGACCTACCGCTGTATTGCGGCAGGTCCCACTACGAAATAGACCTTGGAGGCTGATGTTCTTCCTCGAGTGGCACGCTAACGCCTACTACCGGCCATACAGCAGACGACTGACACCCCTAGTCAGTCGCCCGCAGATAGTAACTATGTCCTTGTCAAAGTACCAGGACAACAAAAAATATATAGGTTTTGTGGCTTTTCCAAGCTAGCAAGATACCAGGGTACCAGAAGATAATTAACTAGGTTAGACTTCGAAAAAACACGTTAAAATTTAAATCATTCTTAGGACGCATTTAAATACACGCTTACCTATTACATTATTTTCCTTCTTAAGTCTACCTATACAATCTATGAAATTACATCAAAATCCATGCAGTGTTTTAAGAGATGGGC